TAGAATCAGTTTTTATAGTTTTATAGCAATTTTAACTTGTAACGGAAGACTTTTCAATGAAAACAGCCACTTTTAACAAAATGCTCATTCGGTGATGGGTAAAGTAATATGTCAAATGATTCGTCTCCAGGTAGTAGTAGTTTAGCAGAGGCTTTCTTTAATTTCTTTCGGAAAGATTTTGGAAAGCAGTTAACCAAGCTTTTGCACCAGGAGAATTATCAGATACCTTTAAACACGGGGTTATAACTTGCATCCCTAAATGAAACAAAGACAAAAATTATAATAAAAAACCGGAGACCTATTTCTTTATAGTTTTTTTATAAAATTGTATCAGCTAGCATTGTCGAACGCCTTAAAACTGTATCAAATAAACCAAAAAGTAAAGATTAAACTAGTTTCTTATCTGGAAGATACATAGCCGACACTATAAGACTGTTCTATGATATTATGCAATATACACATGATAATTAAATTCCTTAATCTCCTGCGCATCGGTCAAATGTTTCACTGCCGCTCACGTTTTTAATTTACAATATCGGAGTATATTCATTGAGCTGCGAGGGGAGCGTACAAATACAGTAAACTCCGCTTATAACGAACTCATTGGGACATTTGATATCTGTTCCTTATATCCGGAGTTCCTTGTAAGCATATAGCAAATTTGTTCCTTGTATTAGGAGTTTTTATAGCGAACAGATTTGCATATAACGAACTGATTATTTACCATCGTCCTCCATTTTGAAAAGCATTTGTTTTAGAAAAATTAGTCACTCATATCTTTTATAGACACAATACCTGAGAGCGTCCTTTTTTAAATTTAAAAATCCTTTGTTATTTCAGTTTTAGTTTTACTCCCTTTCACAATTTCTCATAAAATACATTATTTTGTTTCTAAACTCAGTGCTTTTTGTTTTCTTACCATGATTAAGAATAAACAAGATTTTCGATTTTTCTTCCTTTTACATTGAATATCTTCTATTATGTTTTAAGCGTGACTTTTACTTATAAAAGATATAGATATCTTTTCATTTCAATCATTTATACTTTGTGTGATTATGTTGAAAACCGATTATAAATGATTATAATTATTTTACTTGAGCAAAACTATTTAAGAAAAGAAATAACAGAATAAAAGGAATAACCGTTTTTTCTTGGTTACAAGAACTAGTGCTAAAATATCCTAATAGAAAACTATTAAGTACTGCTATAAAAATTCATTTTTACAGCTGAATAGAAGTACATACAACAATAAACGGAACATCTGGCCGAGTTTTTATCCGTGCCATTATGTTGAATATAGCCGATATTTTAGAGTTCGTTATAAAGGTGTAATTTTCCGTACTTTTAACTAAATTGGACTAAGAAATGAGTTTCTTATAAGCGATAATTCCTTATAACCGTGTTCGTTGTAACCGTATATTTTTTATAATAAATAAAGAAGGGCAAAATTCGGGCCGAAAAAATTGTTCCTTATAACCGGAAGTTCGCTATAACCGTTTTCGCTATAAGGGAAGTTTACTGTATCTGGAATGTTGTTACTGATTGATTTCCTAACAGCTTTCGATTCTATATCATGAACATCTATGCATACTGTCTTAGAATCCTTCAATTTTGGTGAAAATTTTATCAGTTTGGTGAAACTGTTTTACAATAAATCCATTCTTGTGTAACAATAAATGGAAATTTGTCAGACTGGTTTTAAGTACGTGGTTGTCGTAAGGGTATCCCCTTATATTTTATATCCTGTGCAGAAATTCTTGCAATACTTATGTTGAAAATTAATACAAATATAAAAGGTATCAGTCTATCAGACTTAATGCATGTAACTCAGAATAATTATTTCTCTTATCTTATCATTTGATGTATTTTTGACTAGTAAGTTTGATATTAATACCATTTGTTTAGAGTATTAAAACATTATAGCGTCTATTAATAGATTTAAATCAAATGTATTTTGGGCAACAAGCTCAGAAATAAGAAATGCTTTTAATGATTAAAATAATCAATAGTCAAAAGAAGGGATGCAGACATATTTATTGACAATTATATAAAAGTTCAATTTTTGTATCGATTTTGTTTTTATTTTCTGTAGAAAAGTTTCACTTATTTCATATGTTCCTCACTTGAAAAATGATAATTAAAAACTTTAAGTTTTAAATAACTACAAATTAATCAATGTATCAATGTATCAATGTATATGGAAGATTTGTTTGTGTATATTGAGACAGGTACCTGTCATTTAACATCAAATAAGAAGAGGGTTAGAAAATAAAACCTGTCAGATTTTGTCAAATTATAATTGGGACAACAAAATATTTTTAATAATGGTAATCTAGAAACGATTCTTAACATTTACGTAAAGATACAAAGAATGTTTACCATGCTTATTTTAAATTATAGTCACTTAAATTGGTTAAAAAAATTAAAAATAAATGAACCCACGCACTATCGAAAATTTGTCTCCTCACTGAAAATGAAAACTCTTCAGAAAAGAGATACTGCATTAGGCATTCGATAACTTAATATTACAAAAGATTCATATTTACAATGGTTTCAGTAAGTTAATCACACAATACAGGCGACGAATTATATCTTATGCATAAAACGCATTCAATAAGAATAAAAGGTATTATTAATTATATATTATATTAATCATTATATATGTTCTTTCTGCAACAACCATATTGAAACTATAAAATATTTATTATCTGTTTTGGGATTGCCAGTTAAGTTCTTCCTTCTGGGAAGATATCAAGTCATCGATTAATTTAAAATGTACTGATGTCAACGCACATTGACCTTAACACAATTTAGTATAGGCAATGAACAATTGAACACTTAAATGTATTTAATGCAACATTGACTTTAATTTTGTTGGGAAAGTATACACTTTATCGATGAATATTAAAGAACTCAGTTCTATTAAAAGTTACGTCGCCCAGCTTTTGAAAACACAATTATAAAATTATTAATAATAATGATATAAATGCATAAAGTATTCATGACAAGAGGTACAACTCTTAATTGAACATCAATATCAAAATAGTAGGAGTTGTTTCTCTTGAGTTGATGACACTTTTGTCAAAATAAGTATCAATGTTATATTGGGATCTCCTTTATGTTCAAGAAGTTCTATAATATTGTAATGTAATAAAAAAAGGTTCTGAAAAGGAATCTTTTTCTAATGTTACTGACATTAATAACGTTTTACAATATTGGAACAATTATACCATTGAATTGCTAACATTACTATCTTTGTAGAAAGAAATATCTTGTTCCTCTTCAAATATATATCTCAATTTATTGTATGTTTGTGCATAAATGCTTTGTCTTGTTAAAACATCTGAGAATAAAAATAAATTTAGCTCTGGGATCAAAAATTTGCCCTGCCTTTTGAAGATTATAACTATATTAAGTTAAAAATATTTATTCTCAAAAGCAATGAACACTCAATTTGATATGTGTTTGGAATTAAACGTTGTGGATATATTCCAAGTTTGTTCAAATTATTGCCCTTATAGCCTGATTTGGCTTCACCCCAGGGATCATGGATTTTCCTTATTTGTATATAGCAAATACTTAAAAAGTTCTTTTTTCTCTAAAATAATGAAGGCTAAAGCTTAGCATGAAACGTTGTCTAGTAGACCTCTAACAAAATTGATTTAATTATATAACCCTTGAGTCTAAATTGGCCCCACAAAGGTAGGTCACGGATTTCACTTAGATCTATATAGTTAAAACTTAAACCCTGTGACATATTTATTTGTATTCAAAGCTTCAGCTATGAAATATGGGCCAGATGCATAATGAACTTTGACATTTGCTGACTTAGAGTTTGACCAATTGATAAACGATTTTAAACAAAAATAACGCTCTGAAATTTGGATTTATGATACAGTTTCAGATGCAAAATTGAACTTTGACCTAGCTTTTAATTTTGAATAAGTGACCTACTTTGAATTACCAGTGATAAAGCTATGCAATTTAGGCTATATGCGCAGTTTATATATATTTCTATATGCAGAATTTAATTTTGACCTATATTTTGTCCCAGTTACATTTTTATTTGCACTGAGAGCTACTGCATTGAAATAAAACTACTGCTGCAGTTTTAAACTTTGATATCAGTTGACATAGAAATCTAGATATCAATATTATGCATGTCTTTCAATATCATCAGTTCTGTGTAATTTTATGTCTCCATTCTCCATACTCACAACGTGTGCGATAAATGTGCATCATGGCTCTTTTCTTATCTGTTTTATGATAATATGTGTTGCTGACCTGAACTATTTTATAAGTCTAGAGTGATACACGTTTTAATAAATTGAAATCCTAAATAGTTCCATGCCGACACCCCATTCTTATCAAACGATTCGGCAGTATGTTATTTTGATCTGTTTGTGAATCATTCTGTTTGTCTTAAAACTTTAAACTGGCTCAAAAATTGCTTTCCATTATTTTAGCTAATATACATATAAAATAAACACGTCATATGCTATTTTGTTCATAACAAACTTTGTTCATGTACTAAACTTGTAGCCGAAAGCACAATTTTGGGGTCACACTTTTCTTTATAGTATATATTTGAACAGTTAGTGTCAGCCTTTTAACAGGTACACATTCATGCTCTTAACAACTAAACAATATCTTTAAAGTCGTTTTCCTTTTGGAATCGTGATTTAATTTCAACAATGTTTGATCAGATTTACAATGATATTTTTTTCATAAAAGTAAATAAAACTATAAGCTATACGAGTGCTGCTTATTGTTTAGGTCGAAGGCAAACTTTGTTTTTAAATTAAATATTTATAAGATGCTTCTTTGATTATAGGAAAAGTGATCAAAGTTACATATTTTTGTAATTGAATGTTTTCATAGTGTTTTGTCCGAACATTTACTTTGAATGGCCGGTTATATTACACATTTATTTATTTCATTTTGTATAAAATGTTTTGTTTTATACATTATTCTTTTCTCTCTCTCTCTCTTTTGAAATATTGAGTGATAATTGATTATTTAAGTGACTGATTGATTTTGGTTTCATTTACTCTATTTTGTAGTTTGAGTTGGATTAGCTTATTGTGAAAGACATTTAAAACACATACTAACATTCGTGAATTTCTCAATTTATAGAAATTACTTGCAAGGAGACGCTTTAGAGCAGAGATTATTTGAAGCAGTAAATGCGGCGTTTGTTGAAATCGATAAAGTCTCTGGCCAGTTTGATCCCGGACAGTACATCAATTTTATTGTTACCAACATTCTGACGAGCATGTGCTTTGGTGAAAAGTAAGTGTAGTCTGGAAATATATGTTTTATGCCTTTTTATACAAATGGTGATTCTAAAGTCTTAAAGTCATTTAAATATTCAATGTTGAATATCCGCGATCCGCTCACAATCATGCCACGATTGACAAACAATCAACTGAAACATGCAATGTAAAAGTTATACATGTACTCACATTAATGTCACTGAAATATTCAGTTCAATATCGACTAAAATTATTTTGATGAAATAAGTAATGTAAAATAATTGCTAACATTCATGTTACTAAAATATTAACTTTTAAATATTCTCATACAATTATTTTATTGAAATCTCAAAAAAAAATTTAAGAATTCACATTAAATCATGTCCCTGAAATATTCAATGTAAAATTTCCATGAAAATCATATCCATGAAATAATATTTGCTTATTAAAATCCCCTTACTGATTGAATATAATCAATGAAAATCTGATGGAATTAACATCACTGATCCTGGAAACGGAATTTTTTCAAAGTCATTTTTAAAATATTAGAAACCTTTTATTGTCCAATTCATGTTGATATTTTCCAGATACGATTTTAACGATAAAGAATTTAGTCATCTTTTGAAAATGGAAGATGTACTGATTAAAAAAATTACTGAGGGTGTGCCAGAAGATTTTATACCAGGTCTAAGATATGTATACAAGTCAAAAGCATTTAAAGAATTAGAGGGATTAAAGGATTGTCTAATAGAAGGTTTCATTAGGAGGAAATACAAGGAAAGTGAGTCAACTTTTAACAAAGGTGAGTTTCCATATAACATTATGTAATAACAGCCCTGGTCATTCGACAAATATCGACCCATTTCGTAAAAAAAGTAATGAAGTCGAATCTGCTTTAAATAGAGTTATTTGACATTTCTCAAATTGCTATTTCTTTAAATTCATTTCTGTCGAGAGAGGTGGTTTTTTCTTCTGTGTCATCATTTTCTATCTGACCAGCAATTGCTTCAACACTTTTCCAAGAGCATGTTTTTTTAACGGTGTATATTTTACAAAAGATTAGGTGTTTTTGTAAAGAAAAATGATTAAAGATCAACATGACCTTGTATTGTTGTTCACAGATGAGTATGGAATCTAAATTAATTAATTCATTCTTTTGTCATGTGATGTGTTGCTTCAAATTTATTTGGCAGATGACATTCGGCATTTCACTGACACTTTGATTTTTGCTCGCATGGAAGCAAAAAAAGAGGAGGGAATGCAAGCACTTAGTGCCCTGGATGAAGATCATTTAATTCAAACGCTTGCTGAGATATATTTCGGTGAGTTTGGTTTACAGATCTTATTTATTTTCAAGCATTTAAATTAGAAAACCTTTAGAAAACAAATTCTGAGACATTTTGAAACGATAAACAATCCTGTAGGTAACTTTTCTAATTCTAAACAGCATATTCCGTTTTATGACTTATTATTTCCTTTCGGTTTTCTTCAGATTATATGAGCTTAAATTTTAAACTTTGTGCCATAGTTTATTCTTTATAGTTGTTCTGGCTATGCGACCTTAGGAAATTTCTTACTCCTTTCTGACAGTTTTTTATTTCATATATTGAAAAGCTCTTTATGTTCATTTGTTGTTTAAGCTGGCATAGATGCACTGCGACTTACACTCGAGTTTGCCCTGTTGCATATGGTCGCTTTTTCAGATATTCAACGTAAGGTCCAAGACGAGATAGCTAACGTCGTTGGTAAGCTCAAGTCACTAAAAGTTAGCCAAGTAACCATCACACTATTTTTGCTCATACGACAGTGGGCAACTGTAAACAATCAAATTTACTCGCAATTTTTCGATGATATTTAGCTTATGTACAAGGTGCTCGTCCGTCCTGTCTGAAATATTTAAAGGTGGCATGTTTCGTCTTCCTCGAGCGGTTAAGTTGGAAAGTAGCCTTTACATTGTTGGTTCAAGGTAAAACCCAACCAGAATAAGCAAATGTACAACAGCTTAGATGCTCTTGATACTTACGAATCAAATTTGTCTCGTTTCGAAATTAGCGTTTCATTTTCAATACACAATATGCCTGCTATTTTCGAGACAAGAATGGCTTGCAGGTTGGTTGAAATTTGCCAACATCGGTTTTGAAATACGTTTGTTACTGATTTACCTAAGTCAGTAAGGCAATTTCAAATTTTATACTTGAAGTGTTATAAGACCAGTTGTCATGAACCTTTTGAAACAGTTAAGGCAGGGTGTTTCTAAATACAAAATTAAACACTTTTGAAAAAAACTATTGCTCACGAAAATGTGACACAATTTTTACTGTTTATAGGAAAGGAAAGATTGCCGGGACTAGCAGATCGCCCTAATCTTGGTTACACCGAAGCTGTGATACATGAAAGTATGCGCCTAGCAACCATCGGTCCAACCGGAATTTTTCATGAATCATCCTGTGATTCGGAAATTTGTAAGTACACATTTGACGAAGTTTCAGTTTTGTCTTTGTTATATTAACGACAATCTTTAACACAACATCCATAAATTTCATTCTTATATCTTTTTTTTTTAATTGGACAAAATCTGTCATTAATGATGATAAATAAAAGTTTTTAGGCTAAGAAACTAAATTAAAACTTCATGTCATTTGTCAGTCATTATTATGGAATATCAAATGTTAATACTTATTAAAATGGCTTCTTTATTTTTAAAGAGAAACATTTTACTTCGAATAATTCATTCATGTAAAATAAGCCATCGTCTTGCCTTGCTTTGAATTTTTAGCTGATTAAATGATGATTTATAAAATTCTTATATATAAAGAAATTATAGTAATGATATAGTGTAAAAATATTCCAAAACAACAATCTAAGATAATTAAAAATATATATATTTCTGACCGTATTTGTGTATCATTGTGATTCCACTATTAACTTATATATTTCATTAAGGTGGTTACAGAATTCCTAAAGGAACAAGCGTAGTCATCAATCACTGGGCGCTTCACAATGACCCAAGCGCCTGGGATGACGTTGATAGGTTTATTCCACAGAGATATTTAGATGAAGATTGTAAACTAGGACCCAAGCCAAAAAGCTGGCTGCCATTTTCGGCGGGAACAAGAGTGTGCCTCGGCGAATTTGTTGCAAAGCCGATACTTCATTTAATCTTTGCAAGTCTGATGCAACGCTACAAATGGAAAATGGAGTCTGGAATATGTCCAGATATTAATCCAGTAGGAACACCTTTTACTTTGTCGTGTAAGCCATACAAAGTTATTGCTGAAAAAAGAATATAATCCTTACATGATATACCACAAATTGTTCAGACAATGCCCATTGCATACCCTTGACAGTATCTTTGTTCATATGACTGTACATGTTAAGATATTTGCCAAGTATAGTCAATTTTCTAAGGATTGTGTTGTGATGGTTGTGATTGGTTACGCCGAGGAACGACGTCGTCTCTTATGGAATGGCCTTTATGTGGCACATGGCATGACCAGTTATTATTAACAGTTTATGTCAAGTTGTGTTAATTAGGTTTTTTCTACTTCTTAAAACATCAAGTAAATAAACATGTTGTTATTTTTGTATGTAATCACTTTATTTGAAAAGCATTTGCATTGTGATATTTATTTTTTATGAAATGGCTGGCTTAGTTCCTCATTTTTGCTTCATTGGTAATACTAAAACCGAGCTCCGAATATTGTTGTGGTCTACATTACTGTCTATTTTTGAATACTAGTATATCGGAATTTTCATTTTTTACTTCTTAATCTTACATTTATTTGTTATGGTCTTCACTGTAAATTCATTTTGTTTAGTGTTTTGCTTTTTCTATTCTTTTGTTATGTGTACTGTTTTATCAAACATTGTTTGAGGGTCTTCACTGTTTATACATTTTGTTTTGTTATGTATACTGTTATGTCATGGTCAAAGTTTCAGGCTTGTTGTTAAAAATAAATTGATATTTTGATTATATGTCTTTCATACTTCTCTTACTTTGAAATGTATGTTTATATTTTGTTATTTTCAATTCTGCCTTTATTCTTGTTTTTACTTTTCTTCACCTTTGACAAAGATTAAAGGGAGTTTACTTTCAGTAATACGTGAAGTTTTACATAAAATAAATGTATTTTGAAATTTAAAATTCTGCCTATAATATAGAAATTTAATATTTTCTAGCTTGTTTTTACTTTTCCTCACATTTGAGTTTAAATTAGTTTACTTTCAGTAGGATGTGTAGTTTTATGTATAAAATAAATGTATAAGAAAATGTTTTGTGTGTTTGTTATTTAATCTTATTAGAAACAGAGCACTTTAGAGTAAAAGGGTGCGAGGTCTTTTAAAAATGAAAGATATTCGTTGTATATATTAAACAGAATAATTATATATTCGAATTGTGTAATTTTGGCGCTATATAACAATTTAGAGTAAACAGATGAGATGGTTCTTAAACAAACTGATTTACCATTACTAACATAACAAAATGGCTCAGTTTGTATTCCTCATAATTATATTATTATCTTTAAACTGCAAAAATGTTTGGTAAACTTGGTCAATGCAGATCAAGGTCAGCCACATATCTAATCTTATCTCAATCTGCACTGTTCATGAGTCAGTAACGATATGCTGTCTATCCATTTATTGATGATCAATCGTTCTATTCAAAGTGCAAGTCCAAGTCAGTTACAACCAACCGTTAAAGGTTAAATTTGATTCCTTTTGTTTATTCAGTTTAAGATGAAGTGACCATTTACACTAAATAGTGCACAAAAATTAATACTTTTCATCTAGAAATATATTTTGCCGTCACCTTTGATGTTTTTGCATCAACGCTTTTCTTATAATAAAACGACTGTTTTTGTTTTAATGGCGTTAGCTTGTTCCAACTTTTTGTGAAGTTAGCGCAAATGGTAAAGGGCTTTATTCAACTTGGTCTATATGTACTTATGGACATCAAAGAATCCTCCTATTACCCTTAGCTTCTTCTTCCGAAAGTATTTCTGGTGACCTTTCACACATCCAATCATCGTCAAGCTTTCATAATTTTAAAAGCGATATTTGGAAAACCAATATGAGTATGTAATGTTCACTATTTCGAAGACATCAAAGAGTCCAACTTCTTTTTATCCCCTAGCTTCATCTTCTAAAAGTATGCGTAAACTTTATTTTGCAAAAAACATGTTATTTTTCGTTCGAGATTTTTGTTTACCTAAAGAGGCTAAATGTTGCAAAATGTTGTGTCAAATATAGCACTTTATGTGGAGATAAGAAACTCTTGTTCAGTAAATCATATTTTATTACTCCCTGTGCTATTTAACGAAAGATAAAGTTTACACAGATTTTTGTATATAGCCAAAACTATAGCCATGTTACAAAAAGACAAGCTTTTTGACGATGAACACATTTTTAATGTTTTTACGATTATCACGAACATTTCTTACCGTCTTTAATGTACAAACTGATGTTTCGTATCTTCGATTTTTCCCAATATTATTTTTGATTCCATTTTTTGTCCTGATAATGAAATCCATTGATAAAATTATAGTTTATATTCTTGGAACATCTGTGACCTGCAAGATAGGATCTGGCAAGGGTATAAATATATGATATTGAATTATGATCTTAGCTCTAGCCCTATAATCGTATCTAAATTTATTTCAACACTTTTATTCATTTATGTAAACCTTGGTGTTAAAATTTGCCATGCCAATTTAATATATGAGGAAGACAATTCCATGATAAATATTAAAACTATTTAAAATTTAACCTTTTTCTTTTATAGTAAGAGGATTTTTTTCATGGCGTTTTGAATTTTGTAATTGCCAAACAAAAACGAGATTTAAAGATGATTCCTATGTGTTACTCATTTTGTTTAAGTATCCTGTAAGTTACTAGTAATTAAAATTGAAAGAATTGTTCCAACAATTTACAAAGAGAAAAAACAACAACAACAAAAATAACACCAAAAAACCCGATCATGTTAAATCATTATAAAAGTTTAACACATTTCAAAAAGCTATATTATCACATTGTTTGCTAAACTGTAATAATTATTATACATATATAATCCGCCCGTGGATTACAAGGTACCGGTTTACATGTGTATTGTAGGATTAGTTACGCCACACACTTATAGGAAATTTACAAACATTATTGTATTATTTCAGGTACATTTGCATAATTTTCATATAAACTTTCTATTAATTACAGGCTGTATCCCAATATATATCTATACCCTTTGAAAACGTTATTTGCTATGAAAATGGATTATCGCAGTAAATGTCAAGTACATGTACCCTGTCAATGACTTACAACCAACAAACCCGAAAAAGTGTAGATCCCTTGGAAACAGCGAAAACAATAATATTTTGAATAGTGCAGAATAGTTCTAATGGTAATGATTCACTGATTAAAATTGTAACGAACATTAGAGACATTCCTCTAAGTTATGAATATTTTCCACCAAAAGTAACAATGTTTTCTCAAATGCTGGTTTAGATTAAACATTGATAGACACCTTTTCAGGAGGTTTAGTTCTTATTCCTGCAAGCAGCTCTTGTATATTCTTTCAATTATTTCACTGTCCCAAGGACTTATTTGTGGTAAATTGCTTCTCTCTTTCCAGGTGAACCAGCTGATCAAGTGCCCTGGCTTATATAAGAAATTGGAATTCAACAGCAAAAGCAAAAACAAATAAAATGCGTCATATTTTAGCGTTATAATTTCACCGTTTCATTCTCGACGACGAGTAAAGGTTTACAAAAGCGAATAGTTTTAAAGAATAAACCAAAGAATATACAATGTATAGTACTGTGCCCGTTAGTTATGATGAAATGGGTAATTACATCATGCTTGAATTATTACTTTTTTCTCTAATTTCATTGTTTCCAATACATTCCTGCAAAATAAATACGCTTTTAAAATGACTATACAACAGCGTTGTTTATATGTCTATAACAAAGAACATACATCAATTATAAATATATTTATTGTCTTTTAAACTGCTTTACCCAACTGTAGTCAACGAACAGAACAAAATGCCATTGTTATTTGTATAATGTGGGTGCAACCTGGATTTGCATTGCAAATAATTTATATTGTCTTTTCACGTTACCCATTGGAGCCGAGGAGTGTTATGCTATGTCATTGTTATTTGATAACAAAGGAAGATAGTTGCAGTAACTGACTTGGAACGAAAATGAATTTGTTATTTTGATTTTATTTCTCTCCTGCTGCTTTGTGTGTTAAATTAATCGGCATTTAACGATAATTTAAGACACGAGTAGCATCGAAGACATAAGTGCCGAGTCAAAATGACAGTGTCTTGTTGTTTTTCTATATATTTTATCATCTTCTTTAGTGGACAATTGAACGTTGCTTTGGGAAGCATTGACCAGGCTGGATTTAGAAAATATGGCCGGTTGTACAACACTGATGGCCAGGTTTGTACCTCGGATAGAACCGTGTTTAAGGCAGACAGTGTGACATCTTGGGTGGAATGCGCTGTACTATGTTCGAACACTGACCTGTGTTTCGCAATATTCTACAATTCAGAAACAAGGAAGTGCACTGGTTGCACTTACTTCGGTGATAATGAAACTCTCATCGATGCTGGAACAAAGTTTTACAGTCGCATAGGTAGGATGTTTAAAATCATTTCTGGTAAATGCATCGGTTTTGCTTTCGTGCTGGGTATTGCCGTTAAATAACGTGCAATTTAGCGGGACTTTATTCTTTTAAACTAAATTTTACTGACGTTACCGCTTTATTGGCCTCACCATTTCTCCTGCTGAAATTATACTTTGGACATTTCACTATATGGTCAGTTCTAATTGACATTTTAAAAACCAAATAAATATGGGAAAATGCGGGATGGCGTTCCAAAACCAAAGTCTACCAAAATCGACACAATAAGATTTTTTTAACATTTTAACAGAAAATAAGCTTATTGATGCTATTTGGTTGCCGCTGTCTCTCTTCGTTTAATAACCTCACCTGACTGTCCAAAAGCATTAGAAAAGCAGGACCTTTGAACTTCTTACTTGAATATCCGTAAGATAGGAATCCTGCTAAATTCCATGTCTTAACAAAGACATTATTTTAATTTTTTTTTTCTTTCTAGTGTAAAATTCGTGGGCAATATAAAGGCAGAGAAAAGTATCCAGTTATTTAGATTTTTAAACATAATACATGTATTTTGTACAAGTTAGTTTGAATACTTTAATAATGAGAATGTTTTGTTGATCAATTTATTTATTTATTTAATAAACACATAAACTAGTTATGCAAATCATTATCAAAATGTTTAAGAGAAATGTTTAAAATATGTGAACGGTCGTTTAAGTGTACCATAAATGATTTTTTTAGGTTATCGGCTCATTCAACAACAGCTGAATTGGACAAATGCAAAGGTCCGTAAATTGTATTTTTTTTTTGATTTTCTGATTTTTAAATAAATACATGTTAACTGTATGTTCTGATAACAAATGTACACACGGTTCACGATATGTGAGCCCATTGAAAGATTTTTGAGAGTCTTTTACTTGTAGAATACAATTGTATACGTACAAATATAACTATCACTTTAATGTATGTGTATATATTACGACAGACCGATGGGGACATTTAAATTTCATGAAATCCCGTTTTCAATTTCGTGAATTCACAATTATAAATTCGTGATTTGTTTTTTGTTTTTTGTTAACATACGGAATTCACGAATTCACGATTTCAGCTTCATGAATTCACGATTTTAACATCACGAATTCATGATTTCATCTATATGAATTCAAGATTTCAATTTCACTAATTTACGATTTCAACTTCATGAATTCACGAGTACAACTTAACACATTCGCGATTTTAACTTCACGAATTCACAATTTCATTTTCACGAGTTCACGATTTCAACTTCGACGATTCATTAGTCTGAAAAAGTCCTACACTCAACGTCGTTAATATTCTTCGTGAAAAGAGTTATTTACGAACAAGAAGTATCTTTTTTAAAAAAATTGTAGATCGTATCCTAGGAAACATGGATATAAAATGATAAGGATTATGGCATTGAGCCTATTATTGAATTTTACGTTTGCATTTTTGAAATATTGATCAGAAATCATTTGCATATGTTGCCTCCTAAACAATACTCAGAATATTTCTCTTAAAAGAAGAACCATAAGCTCTATTTTTTTCAGGAAAAGGTTCATTTCACGAAAGAAATGGAAATAAATAAATTATTAAAAAAGATAAATAAATAAAAAACAAAATCCAGTACCTGGCCGAACGGTGATTCCTTGCATTTTTGGAAATGCTTATGATTATATACTTCTACTTTCTTCAATCATTTAGAATAATATCTAGAAATATTGTTTTAAACTATCATTGTAATCTAAAATTTATAAATTTTCTTTTGTTTGTAGGCGAAATGTTTAGAACTAGGAGGTAGTCTGGTGTCAATAAAGTCTCTACAGCAACATGATTTTATTGTTAGGATTCTTAGTGGATTCTGTAAGTTTGTTTGTATTTTCGTCCATCGCTCTAAAAATATATTATATATCATATATTTATATTCAATACACACCTATGTGTCTCTGTTCAATGTCTATTGGACCTTCGTTTAACATTACAGTATATTAGAAGATCTAACTCCAATATATTTTTAGATTATTCACCGTATTTATGTAATGATGTTGCCAGTTTGTCATTGAGATTGCATTTCTGACCGATGACCTTAAATTAGGAATAATAAATCTTGTATTTGTACCATACCTTAAACCATAGCCATGTCACTTTCACCTTTAAGATGCCGTTGATACTGATTAACGTATATGGATTGGGGGAAATGATATGGCAACAGAAGGAACGTTCCTATACGAAGACGAGACAGCCTTCGCTGAAACTCCCGGTGCTACCAAATGGGGCCCAAGACAACCAAACAACTATAAATCTCGAGAAGATTGTGTTCAATTATATTATACAGATGGCGAATGGTATTGGAATGATGAGCGGTGTGTTTTGGAATGGTACAGCGTATGTGATATAAATTAATGCAATCACATCAATATTATTTATTTTTGTGCAATTACTATACCACTGATTATTTCATGTCACGAATTTACACCTTTTTCAATTGACCTGTCGCTTACTTTAATTAAGACTTTAAGATTCGAAAAGTTTTAAAGAGAACAAGAATATATTACATAAGAATAATATTGATTTAAACATGAAACTAAACAAACATTTCACCTTATATATACAATAACACATCACTGAATTTGGTAGAATCAAATTTCACAAACTTTGACTAATACAAAAATGATGAACTGAACAACAATAAACCTTTGTTTATCAACCTATTAGACTATTTGAAGTATAATGTTTATAGACGAGCAGCTTATTAATCAATTGGTTTGAACAATATTGAACCAAATATTTGACGTTACTGTTAAAACCACATCGAAATTTTTATTGCATTTATGATCAACTATTAACAGTTATGTTGATACTGGCTCATTTCCGGCTTCTCCAAAAGAAGCTTAGTACGTTATTTTATGCCTATATCTAAAGGTGATGAGTTAGGGAATGTAAGCATATGCAGGCCTGTATCTATAATGTCCCACATTATTTCTATGTGAAAATTTTTTATTTTCCTTAAGGATAAAGGTTGTTTCGTTAAAAAAGAAAGGACATTAAAGATAACTATGGCGAAAAGGTTAACACATACACAGACAGTAAAATAGGATTAGAACAGTCGGGTGAAAGAAAGACGGGGAGAATATATTGACTATCCTTTAATCACAATTTTCTGTTTGATATGAATAAATGGTCAATAAAAGTTTAAAAGTAGTTGTGTGTAGTAAATCGTGCAGCACGATAAAGACTTTCTTTGAGACCAAATCTCAGGACCATGTACTACGATTGTTTCGTCTTACATGCTTTCTTGTAGTTTTTTTTTTGTAAATTTCGTGTAATACAGCCAATCTCCGAAAGTATTGATTTATTTACTGATTACACAGTACACACCACTCGCTTTAAATACTTTGACACGTGTTTTTCCAAATCAGAATCATTTTTATGAAAAATCTAAACACATTTTGCATGAAAATACTGTAGTTCAGATTGTTTATAAACTTGGTCAGGAAATTTTGAAAAGTATATTTTCAGCTCATAAAATTAGTGCTGGTACAAGTAGGATACTTTAAATTATTATAATTTCAATCACCCCTAAACCGATATTTTAGCACATATTTTCTATATAAAAGGTATTTACTTTTGTTTTTTTCTTTGATTATTGTATGTAAAGTTATTACTACGATTTTATATAGTATCCCAGGCAAAGCTCATGTATTGATGTATGAAGTTTACAAACTATCCACTGTAACAGCAGTAAACTGTAGCATTTAAAAGAATCCATACCTTAAAAATGATAAATATCCATGTAAATATATTTGAAAGATTTCTAACAATTTGAGATAAATATCCTGTTGTAAGCCACTTGTCATGTTATAGTACATGTATATTCTTCTTATTAAATATCACTATGTAGCTACTAGTCAATCAATATATTTTTTTTACTTTTCAGATTTGTTTTTTGCTAGACAATATGTTTTATGTCTTTGTTATTGTCAATAAATAGCTTATTTGCTTGTATTTCTTGTAATTTGTAAACCAACTTTAAATAAAGCTTCTTATACCTTGTATCTTGTTCTGTCTTTTTGTGACGGAAGCGCCCTCATGCGCGCATAGAGTAATGCACAGTGAATGTAGACGGTCTCAACCAAAAAACACCCAAACAAATAATACACATAATGACCCCATTAAATTATATGTGATTGGTCAGTACTTTTTATTTATCGAAATGCATATCTAAGGCAATTTGAAAACGTTGTCTCAATATTGGATGTATAAGAAGCACAATAAACGATCGAACTTTGGCTTCAGAGATCGAAAACGTTCCTTTAAATTCTAGAAAGCTTATAGAATAGCTTAAAAAAGTCCGTTTAATATTTAATATATGTTATTGTAATGGGTAGTTATCATTAGTTTTAAACATGAGAACAAAGATGATCAAAAATGTAGGGCGACATTCAATTGACAAAGGGATATCGGACCAGAAGCCCAGAAGAGCACTGGATAAAAACAAAACAATGGAAGGCATAGGGAGAAGAAGCGAATCACGGAAAAGTAGTAACACTTATCTGCTAATCTATTTGTTTTAATTTTACTGTGTTTTGTAACGATACTTATTTTCATTTGATATCTTCCGAAGTCGTTAAATATGTATTAAAGAATTATTCAAGCTATTCCCGATGGCAACACCCACCACAAACTATTTTTAAGTTCTAGAAAAGAATAAACACAATTAGCGGAAGTGATCTGTTAATATCATCACGTAAATTGCAGATATGATGATGAAACAATAACAAGTAACCTCTGATTTAAAATTGTTTAGGAAGAAAACAATTAAGAATTTCTCTCATCTTATTGGTATAAAGACTGATTAAAATTAGTTACACAATGTAACTGAGTTAATTAGAAAATACAGCACATCAGCTTTGTTACAAATCCCGGTACATCAGAAGAATAGCCATCTGTTTTTTCAACAATACGGCACTAAGAGTGTTATCAACGTAGACGTGCTACAATTTTTTTTTTTTTGTTGATGGTTTCTGTGGCCGAGTGGCGGAAGAAGTTGTCTATGTTCAGTCTGTCTGACAGAATCTCAAAATCAAGACTATTGCAATATGGTATCTTTGCCGCTTTCGCATATCGTACCAATAAGTAAAGATATTAATTCTGCTGATATACAATTTTGGATATTGTTTGAAAAGTATCTTTGCTACGAATACGAAGAAATTTGTGTGCGTGTGGAATGTTTAGATAATAGTTTAATTTGGTTGGCGTGATGCACTTATTGACAAGTTTATACACATTTATACCGTTTAAGAACTTTCTTTGGATGTGAAAACAGATTATCGCATTTAATGTAAAGTAAACTTGAAATAATTTACATCTTAAAAATCCAGAAATAGTGAAGATCCTTCGTAAGCAGTGAAAACTTACAGTATTATATGAATTATACAGACTCGGTTAACTTGAGTCTGTTCATGAGAGATTATACCCTGACTTTGTTTTTAACACGAATAACACTCTAAATAAGTATTAGATCGAACAACAAATATTTTGTTTACATACTGGAAAAGTGCCTCAGTAAAAATATTTAAACATTTACTATACTTTATATTAATATCAGTAAACAAATGATAACCAAAATAGTTTGATGTCTTTACACATATACTTTAAAGGGACTCCAAAGAGGTTTTAAACATGACGGGACTCGAAATGTTTTATTTCGTGATTTCGTGATTTATGTACCATTTGATATAAGTCGTGACCAGCCAATTGTATTCTAGCAAATATATTTGTTATTATTAACAATGACCTAAAATGAATGACAATTCAAAGTTTTTCACTAAAATAGGGCGACGAGTAGCAAAAAGACACCTAAAAGATCTCAAATTGCTTTAAATAATACGTCAAGACGTCGTTGATATTATCCCAAAGGTAACAACTTATTCCTCACAATATTCTTTTTTTCACATTTATATTTTTAAACATTAACAAATGGATTACTTCTATAATTTTAGTTCCGTTTTTCTTAAATTGATTGACTTGACAACACTCGCTATAAGAGTGATGACCATTTCTCAAGTTGCAGATAAAACCAATAAATGAACGTATTGATTAGCCACAGTTATATCCAGACAAAAAGTTTGTACAGGTAATAAACTAAACGAGCAAACTATAAGACCGGTCTAACAGCAAGAAAACATTTTCTTTTCATCTTTAACTGAAATAACGATTAAGTATTATTATTAAAAAAAAGTAGGCGGACCAGACGTATTCATTATACATCGATGATATTGTTTGCTTATGTTTTCCAAAATTTATTAATCCAAAGTTTGCATCATCCTGTCTATTAGAAACAAAACAAAAATTACTAAGTTAATTCATGAATGATATTCAGAATTTCCTTTCTATATATACAGGATTATTTTTTTATCGAGTGGTATGAACATATTTCATGAGTGGCTGTAGAATTAGAATGAATCTCGTGTCTTAAACATTAGGTTACGCTAGGTTTTGCTGTCAGTCACGTTACTCTTCATTTTGATTAACAGACGAATTGTTCAAAGGTTGCGAAATAATAATCAAACATACATCAATTTTGATGACCCCGTAGATTATTATATTTGATTAGTTAGCACTTTCGTATGTCTGTACAATGGACTGTCACGAGCAAAAATGTCGCTCTTTCAATAAATCAATACCTTAGGTAACATGAAATACATTGTCTCACCAGTGAACACATATTAAAAGAAACACCATGCACAATATCAAACGACCAAAACGTGCTTTTGATTTCTAATAAAGGTTAAGGAAACGTACAAAAGAAAGGGGCTGTTCAATATTTTATACCAGAGAGATGTTAGTTGTAAAGAGAAATTTATCGTTAATGTGAAATATGAGAACAAAGGTCATACATGAAGGGCGACATTTACCACACATGTCAACCGGCCAGGAGTTCACATTTATATCGTTTATAAACGATAGAGGGCACATGGCTAAAGCAGAGTGGTTAACATATTTCTGCGTTTCCATTTATTGTTTGCTGCTGTTCAAAAATGTATTAAATAATTGTTCAAGCTACTCCTAAGCCCTAATTTAACACGTTTTGCTTTTTGAAGTTAAGTCAGGGATTTTTTCATCTGACTTAAATGACACACCCGACACACTATGAATTATGAATTATAAATTAATAAATAATTAATGAATAAATAAAATAATAAAAAATAAGAATAATAATAACATTAAAGGAACTGATTCATTTGCCCATTTTCTACCACAGCAGAATAAAAATAAATAAATAAATGAATACAATAATAATAAAAATAAAATAATAATCATATCATTAAAGGAACTTATTTCATGACCGGGAGTTTTATTCTCTAATAATGAGAATAAATGAATGTTGTTTCTTAGTCTCTATACATTTTCTTATAAATCCTTTCTTTGCTATCTTATATGCTTTGATGACTGTTAGTAAAATATTTCTTTAGAAAAAATTCAAACTTTTGCTTCTAGTGCCAAGTAGTGGAAGACGAACAACCGATCAATTTAAATAGGTATTAGTTTGGTATACCTTGTTTTGTTTTTGATAAGAACGTGGATACGAATAATAAGTTAATTATCTATTCACAACCGCATACTATTATTTTCACGCGTTTCATCGAATAGCGTGAAATATTTGTCTTTGCGTGACGTAATTTTGTAGGCAATTTTTATTGGTTGTAGTAGCACGGGTTTTTCGAGATTTTAATACTGTACTGGCGTGTAAAATATTAAGGTGTATTGGTCACTCTACCAGACGATTTCACAGCGTTAACAACTCGTGTTTTTAAGCTATTACTACACGTGGCAGCCGAGTAAATGTCTAGATCTATGGACAGCGAAAATCAGTTTTTGTCTCAAATGGAGAGGCTTATCGACTCGAAGTTGGGAGCTTTTGAGCAGCGTATCAATACAGTACAAAGGGAGATTTCTCAGTCTCAAATTTCTACCATCAAAGCTATGGACGATAAATACACATTTAGGAAGAAGGGTCACGAGCAACAGTTCAAGGTGAACGCCCTTGTGCTTGACAAAATGCGACAGGCGGAAGAGCTCGTCACGGGCGATTCATTCAGCGAGGCAGACGCAGAAGGCGCCAAACAGAAAATATCAGAAGGTATAGACATTATTATGCATCGTCAAAAATTGCTTAAATTAGCTGATTCTTCCGAGCATGGCTGGAAAGTCGTGGAGGAATACGAAGCGCATCCTCTCGCCGAGAACTCAGACGACGAGAAGAAAATTTATCGTGCTCAAATGCAGGCCGACCGTAAAGTTCGGCAAGAACGTCGCAACAGGGCCAAGCGTTATACACCGTATTCAACAGACATTCCTACCAGAGGGTCGTCTGCGGCTA